TCTGGTTTTCAACTGATAAAATTCAGAGAGTCTGGCTACTTGCAGGGCAGAACCACATCACACATTTGAATGATATTCAATGCACATTTAAGGCGTATGACTTCCCTCCAAGCACCCCAGAAACTGTAGTTCGTTAAAGATCCTGAGGGAAATGGTAGCCCTGCGAGGGGTAAACTGCAAGTCCCAGGATTCTTGGGTGGGTGGGTGGGCGTGTGCTTTAAATATGGAGTTGACCAAAAAAAAAAAGCAGAGACATCACTTTGCCAACAAAGGTCCATATAGTTAAAGCCATGGTTTTCCCAGTAGTGATGTATGGAAGTGAGAGCTGGACCATAAAGAAGGCTGATCGCCGAAGAATAGATGCTGCTGGAGGAGACTCTTGAGAGTCCCATGGACTGCAAGAAGATCAAACCTATCCATTCTGAAGGAAATCAGCCCTGAGTGCTCACTGGAAGGACAGATCCTGAAGCTGAGGCTCCAATCCTTTGGCCACCTCATGAGAAGAGAAGACTCCCTGGAAAAGACCCTGATGCTGGGAAAGATGGAGGGCACAAGGAGAAGGGGACGACAGAGGATGAGGTGGTGGGACAGTGTTCTCGAAGCTACCAGCATGAGTTTGACCAAGCTGCGGGAGGCAGTGGAAGACAGGAGTGCCTGGCGTGCTCTGGTCCAGGGGGTCATGAAGAGTCGGACACGACTAAACGACTGAACAACAACAGGCAAACTAAGGCCCGGTGGCCGGATCCGGCCCAATTGCCTTCTAAATCCGGCCCGGAGACTGTCCGGGAATCAGCGTGTTTTTACATGAGTAGAATGTGTCCTTTTATTTAAAATGCATCTCTGGGTTATTTGTGGGGCATAGGAATTAGTTCTTTTTTCTTTTTTCCTCAAAATATAGTCTGCCCCCCCCCACAAGGTCTGAGGGACAGTGGACCGGCCCCCTGTTGAAAAAGTTTGCTGACCCCTGGAGTTGACCTTTGCTATCCCTTTGAGGAAGAACCTGAGCATGTGCAGAGTGCACCTAAATATTCGACACTGCCTAGCTCATCAATCAGATTCTCTGGTTTCTGAGTCAATGTGGAGTGAGCTAGCTTTCCCCCCCTCCCCTTTCGTTATTCATAGCTTCCATCTGTCATTGTGATTCATGCAAATTCTTTCCCAGCTTCCTCACAGGCCATTTCCAAAGGCTCCCTTGACCCTTGCTGCTGGGGTTCCCCCTCCTCTTTATGTATCGATGGGGTTATAGTGAATTTACTGCCTCTGCAGCCTGGAGTGCCAGAGGTCACAAGCCAAGTGGATTATGAAACATTTCTTAAAAGGAAGTTATTCCCAAGATTCATTCCAATTAATCCTGGGAGAGTCCCCATTCTAGCTGCAGTTTTCTTCAAAATCTCTGACACAGGTTTTTTATATACGAGAGAGAGAGAGAGAGAGAGAGAGAGGTCTTCTGGGATCATCTTTGCCGAGAAATGATGCTTTCTTGGTTGGGTGGGTGAATCAGCCGAAGAGCGTGGGAGACCTGTTCCTTGCCATGGAGGGGAGTACTTTGTGGCTGCATTCTCAGATTCTGGAAGGGCATGATACATGGCTGGTAGACGGCCCTTGTCTTTTGCTTTGCTGCCAGGAAAAAAGGCATATTTCCCACGGTGCCCAGTCAGACCACTTGCAGAAGTCCAGAAGTAGGCTTCAATACGCCACTCAGCCTTCTTTGAACAATTTACCTGCTTTCTCGCTGCCTTGTTGTTCCATCATCACATCACCACCCACTGGTGGCCACATGAACTGCAGCATGACAACAGCGTTCCAATTTTCTTATATAGCAATAATATAATATAATGTAATGTAATGTAATGTAATGTAATGTAATGTAATAATAATATAATATAATATAATATAATAATAGAATAGAATAGAATAGAATAGAATAGAATAGAATAGAATAGAATAGAATATGGATGAAAGAGGAGAGTGCAAAATATGGTCTGAAACTCAACATTAAAAAACCCCTAAGATATTGGCCACTGGTCCCATCACCTCCTGGCAAACAGAAGGGGAAGAAATGGAGGCAGTGAGAGATTTTGCTTTCTTGGGCTCCATGATCACTGCAGATGATGACAGCAGTCACGAAATTAAAAGACGCCTGCTTCTTGGGAAAAAAGCAATGACAAACCTAGACAGCATCTTAAAAAGCAGAGACGTCACCTTGCCAACAAAGGTCCGTATAGTTCAAGCTATGGTTTTCCCAGAAGTGATGAGCTGGACCATAAAGAAGGCTGATCACCGAAGAATTGATGCTTTTGAATTATGGTGCTGGAGGAGACTCCTGAGAGTCTCATGGACTGCAAGAAGATTAAACCTATCCATTCTTCAGGAAATCAGCCCTGAGTGCTCACTGGAAGGACAGATCCTGAAACTGAGGCTCCAATACTTTGGCCACCTCATGAGAAGAGAAGACTCCCTGGAAAAGACCCTGATGTTGGGAAAGATGGAGGGCACAAGGAGAAGGGGACGACAGAGGACGAGATGGTTGGACAGTGTTCTCGAAGCTACCAGCATGAGTTTGACCAAACTGCGGGAGGCAGTGGAAGACAGGAGTGTCTGGCGTGCTCTGGTCCAGGGAGTCACGAAGAGTCGGACACGACTAAATGACTAAACAACAACAAATATTCTTGAAAGAAGCTTCATGCTCGGCTCCTTCTTCCAGCCCTCCTCTCTTACTGTACATACATACTGTACATTTAAAGCACATCCATGCACACACAAAATCCTCAGAACTGCGGTTTAGCGCAGAGCTACATTTCTCCATTCTGCTTTGTGAGCTGAAATTTCTTAGATTTTCAGTTTACAATATCACTAGCATGCATTGACTGGGACACCCTTTCACTGGCGTCATGTGACAGATGAGGACGTGATTTGTTCCTTTACATGCGCACTGCCCGGTGCGTCAGAACACTGATGGAGGAACAAGGCTCTTTTGACGGAAGACTGGGAGATCTCAAGAAGAAGTTCATGGCCTAGACGGAGCCAGCAGTGTAGTTACTGGCCTGATCATCAAGAAAAATGGCAAATTAGCAGAACTTAAATCCAGGCTTGTGGAATGGATTATAGACTAATTGAGAGACCAGAGAGTTATTTGCTCATTGTGGCCGACAGAAGTTAAACATTATGGTTATACTAATGCAACCCCTTGCTGGGGAAGGAAAAAGTGAACATAAAGCAATGTTCAAAGCACAATCGTTAGCCAATTTTGCTGATAAACCCTATTTTGCCTTTTGGGCGCCTAACGAAAAAACATGTTAGTGCACCAACACATGCAATAATGAGGTAGAGTGGTTAGTGCAGCCAAACTCCTTCCTGGTGCCTTCCAGATGTTTTGGATGACAGTTGTCAACACCCAATTCAGCACAGCTAAAGAACACAAATGATGATAATTGCACTCCAAATAATCAACAGGGACGGGGGCACCAGTTTGGGGAAAGGCTGAGTTATAGAGTGCTTAAGAAGGAGCAGGAAAACCCACTGATGGGATGAGGGCCTGACCACAGAGCCTAGGATTTGCTGATCAGAAGGTCGGCAGTTCGAATCCCCGCAACGGGGTGAACTCCCGTTGCTCGGTCCCTGCTCCTGCCCACCTAGCGGTTTGAAAGCACGTCAAAGGGCAAGTAGATAAATAGGTACTGCTCCAGCGGGAAGGTAAACGGTGTTTCCGTGCGCTGCTCTGGTTCGCCAGAAGCGGCTTAGTCATGCTGGCCACATGACCTGGAATCTGTACACCGGCTTCCTCGGCCAATAAAGCGAGATGAGTGCCGCAACCCCAGAGTCGGTCACGACTGGACCTAAAGGTCAGGGGTCCCTTTACATTTAAGAAGGTGCAGGAAAACCCACTGATGGGATGAGTGCCTGACAGCATCACTGTTGGCAAATTGGCCTCTTCTTAAAAGTCCCCAATGTTTTGGCAATGGCTTCTCAGCAGTACAATATTATGTTTCTCCCACTGAGGCCGGGGTGGAAATCCGTCTCCCGCTTCAAACCGCATCAGCCACAAAACCGCAACAGATTTAAAAATTGGGGAGAGGGGCTGCTCACTTTGTCTGAAGAACTGCACCATTTCCCTAACTCTCCCCTCAAAAACATGTGTGCGATCGATTAAGCTCTGAAACCCGGCCGTGGCCTTCCGGGAACGCCTGCCTTCTGTCCTCCCACGTTTGATGGAAAGGCTGCTAAGATAACCGTTCTGTCTCGCTGCTGTTCCGCAGAAAAGTGAGATAACCGTCAAACACCCACCCCATTAGGACATTTTGCCTCTTGTGGACTCGATGCCCCGAGAGCGTGGTTTGTGGAAACAGGAAAGAGGCGTGGAAATAATCAGTTCAACATTTATTGGAAAGGACAAACAAAGAAGGAGTTGGGAAGTAGAATTCTCCTCTAACAGCACCCTGGGGGCGATTTTTGAATGGAAGGAGATCACAGAACCATAGAATTGCAGAATTGGAAGGGATCATCAGGGATCATCTAGATCAGGGGTCGGCAACCCGCGGCTCCGGAGCCGCATGTGGCTCTTTTACACCTTTGCCGCAGCTCCAGGGCGGATACTAGCGAGGGGCGGAGGCGCATTGTGCGCCCCGACACTCCCCACTGTGGCAGGCGCTGTACTGGCTGTGACGTCGCATAGGGGCGGTGCGTGCGTTAGTCACGCACCGTCCCGACGTCACCTTCCCGCCCGCCCGCCCGCTACATTGTAAGGGGCATGTACGCTGGTCACTGTTTTGAAGGGGAGTGAAGAACACACACACACAAAAAGGTAACTTGTTAATTTAACGTTTATTTCTATGAGGAGGAGTACTTCTGAGGGGTCAAACAAAGAAATAATAAAAAAGTGACAAAAAAGTTATTTTTATAATGACAAGGATGACATTGGGCCCTCATTATTAATTATTATTTACATCAGGCACTGATTATGATTTGTGGTACACTGGGGCCCTGATTAATTTTCTATGTCGCAATGGTTTTGCGGCTCCCAGTTTTTTCTTCTTCGGAAACGGGTCCAAGTGGCTCTTTTTGTCTTCAAGGTTGCAGACCCCTGATCTAGATCAACCCCTGTTGGGGTCACTTCCTCCTTCCCAGCCCCTGGGGCAGAAGGTTGTCAACCTTCTTGGGCCTGTGGGCACATCTGCCTACCAGAGAAACTATCATGGGCACCTTGCACACATGCCAGGGTTTATTTGTTTTTCATTGGGATCAGGAAACAACACAGGACGGACAAGCTTATTTTTGACAGCAATGACGACTAGTAACTTGCTTTTTAAAAAAGAAGAAGCTAAGACACGTTTTCTCTAGAGAATACACACAGTCCTGTTTTTTGTGTGGGGTTTTTTTGCTGGATGGAGATAGGACCAGGTTAGAAATGGGGATTTGAAAGGGGATCAGGGTGTACCATGAACATACAAGAGGAAGTTCCGCCCACCACCGCCCTGGTCTGGAAGTGGGAGGAGTCTGCCATTTGTCTCCTCCGTCCAAGCCGCTTCCAGGCTCACAGCACGATGCAAAAGAGCCGTTTCTCACGGAAGGGGTTCTCCGCAGATGGCACCGGGGTCACCAGAGGGTCCTCTTTGGCGTGGGCTTCGCAGTGGGCCAGGAGGTCGGCCGCTGCCTTGGACACCTGGCACGGAAGGAGAGAGAGTCAGCACGCCATATATACACACCGTATTTTTCGCTCCATAAGACACACTTTTTCCCTCCTAAAAAGTAAAGGGAATTTTGTGTGTGCGTCTTATGGAGCGAATGCAGGGGGGAGGCAGGCAGGAAAACCCCCCAAGAGCAGCACACAAGCTTCGCACGGCTCTTGTGAGCTTTTCCCCAGGAGGGAGAAGGGACTGACGTGGCAAATCAGTCCCTTCTCCCTCCTCGTAGAAAAGCCCACTCCTTAAAAGGTGCACGGCTCCTGTGGGCTTTTGCGGGAGGTGGGAGAATTGCCATAGCGGTGCGCAGCCTCTCCCGGCCGGAGGGGCTGGGCGCAGCTAAAGAAGCCAAGACAGCCAGCAGAATGGATCCCACTTGCTGTCTTGGCTTCTTTGCTCTTTGGGGCGGGGGGGAGGGGAATAATATATTTTTTCTTGATTTTCCCCTCTAAAAACTAGGTGCACCTTATGGTCCAGTGTGCCTTATGGAGCAAAAAAAAAGGTGTGTGTGTGTGTGTGTGTGTGTGTGTGTGTGTGTGTGTGTATTTTAACATATCATTTTCAACAGTAATTAAACATATTTTTACATCTTATTCCATTTTTTTGACTTCCATCACTCCTGTCTGAAAATTTTCCAAACTAATCTCTTAGTATGCATTTCTTATTTTCCCTGTTACATTTCAAACTCATAACCAATATCTCTATCTTTTCCTACTTTGTAACACTTCGTATATTTCTCCTTACAAAACTTCTTGTAGTCCTACTAGCGTAATTTGTCGATTACAGTTGCTCTTCAAATAGTTCATATACTTCTTCCAATCTTCTGTAAATCTCTGGTCCTGCAGGTTTCGAATCCTTCCTGTCATTTTGTCCAATTCTGCATAGTCCAATAATTTTGCCTGCCGTTCTTCTTTCGTTGGAACTAGTGAGCACGCCTTTTGCACACTTAAGCTAGACTACCGCACGGCAGGCAGGGCTGCCCTTGGAGACTGTTCGGCTGCTTCACCACACAGAACCGAAACACGGTGTTGTATACAGTAGTACCTCAGGTTAAGTACTTAATTCGTTCCAGAGGTCCGTTCTTAACCTGAAACTGTTCTTAACCTGAAGCACCACTTTAGCTAATGGGGCCTCCTGCTGCCACCGTGCCGCCGGAGCACGATTTCTGTTCTCATCCTGAAGCAAAGTTCTGAACCTGAAGTACTATTTCTGGGTTAGCGGAGTCTGTAACCTGAAGCGTATGTAACCCGAGGTACCACTGTACATGAAAGTGCACCTCATGCTGTAGGCGAGGAGAGGAGATGGGGAAGCTCACCTTCATCCGGTCGATGTTCACTTCCAGTTTCAGCTGCTCCACCGTCTTCCGTGCCTCTGCAATCTTGGCCATGTTGTTAGACATTATCCCTCACCCGGCTGGAGTGGCTTTGTGGTCAGCAGGTGGGCAGAGAGAGAGAAAGAGACAGACAAACAGTAATGTTCAGTGGAACTAACTACCTCTGAGCCCTCTCCTCCCAGACTAATAATAATAATAATAATAATAATAATAATAATAATTTATTATTTATACCCCACCCATCTGGCTGGGCTTCCCCAGCCACTCTGGGTGGCTTCCAACCAAATATTAAAATACAGTAATACATCAAACATTCCCTAAACAGGGCTGCCTTCAGATGTCTTCTAAAAGTTTGGTAGTTGTTCTTCTCTTTGACATCTGTTGGGAGGGCGTTCCACAGGGTGGGCGCCACTACCGAGAAGGCCCTCTGCCTGGTTCCCTGTAACTTGGCTTCTCACAATGAGGGAACCGCCAGAAGGCCCTCGGCGCTGGACCTCAGTGTCTGGGCAGAACGATGGGGGTGGAGACGCTCCTTCAGGTATACTGGACTGAGGCCATTTAGGGCTTTAAAGATCAACACCAACACTTTGAATTGTGCTCGGAAACGTACTGGGAGCCAATGTAGGTCTTTCAAGACCGGTGTTATGTGGTCTTGGCTGCCGCTCCCAGTCACCAGTCTAGCTGCTGCATTCTGGATTAGTTGTAGTTTCCGGGTCACCTTCAAAGGTAGCCCCACATAGAGCGCATTGCAGTAGTCCAAGCAGGAGATAACCAGAGCATGCACTACTCTGGCAAGACAGTTCACAGGCAGGTAGGGTCTCAGCCTGCGTACCAGATGGAGCTGGCAGACAGCTGCCCTGGACACAGAATTGAGCTGTGCCTCCATGGACAGCTGTGAGTCCAAAATGACTCCCAGGCTGCGCACCTGGTCCTTCAGGGGAATAGTTACCCCATTCAGGACCAGGGAGTCCTCCACACCCGCCCACCTTCTGCCCCCCCCAAACAGTACTTTTGTCTTGTCAGGATTCAACCTCAATCTGTTAGCCGCCATCCATCCTCCAACCGCCTCCAGACACTCACACAGGACCTTCACCACCTTCACTGGTTGTGATTTATAAGAGAGATAGAGCTGGGTATCATCTGCATATTGATGGACACCCAGCCCAAACCCCCTGATGATCTCTCTCAGCGGCTGCATGCAGGTGTTGAAAAGCATGGGGGAGAGGACAGAACCCTGAGGCACCCCACAAGTGAGAGCCCAGGGGTCTGGGCACTCATCCCCCACCCCTTTCTGGACACGGCCCAGGAGGAAGGAGCGGAACCACTGTATGACAGTGCCTCCAGCTCCCAGCCCCTCAAGACGGTCCAGAAGGATGTTATGGTCTATGGTGTCAAAAGCCGCTGAGAGATCCAGCAGAACTAGGAAACAACTAGTTCTAGATCCAGCGACGTTCACAGAAGCCATAATTTCAGCAGAGCAAACCACAGCCATTATTGATCTCTCAGAATACCGTTGTGAGCTTGGGGGGAATCAGTCTGGATGATGCCCTGAGCCCCTTCCAATTATTGGGTTCCTGTACCTGATGAGGGAAGGGACGCAGGTGGTGCTGTGGGTTAAACCACAGAGCCTAGGACTTGCTGATCAGAAGGTCGGCGGTTCGAATCCCCACGACGGAGTGAGCTCCCGTTGCTCGGTCCCAGCTCCTGCCAACCTAGCAGTTCGAAAGCACGTCAAAGTGCAAGTAGATAAATAGGTACCGCTCCGGCGGGAAGGTAAACGGTGTTTCCGTGCGCTGCTCTGGTTCGCTAGAAGTGGTTTAGTCATGCTGGCCACATGACCCGGAAGCTGTACGCCGGCTCCCTCGGCAGTAAGCGAGATGAGCGCTGCAACCCCAGAGTCGGCCACGACTGGACCTAATGGTCAGGGGTCCCTTTACCTTTACCTTACCTGATGAGGGCTAGAATCTAACAGGGCAGGTTGCTGAACTGATCGGACAAGTTTCTTTGCAAGACAAGGACCATAGCTGGCCACTTAAGTGCCCTCATCAACGTCCCAAAAGAAATAGTAAGAGTGACAACTAACTGATTATGGCCTCCAGGTTAATGGGTGGGCCTTTCCTAGCTCCTAGGGACACGGGTGGCGTTGTGGGTAAAACCTCAGTGCCTAGGAGTTGCCGATCGCATGGTCGGCAGTTCGAATCTCCGCGGCGGGGTGAGCTCCCGTCTTTCGGTCCCAGCTCCTGCCCACCTAGCAGTTCGAAAGCACCCCTAAGTGCAAGTAGATAAATAGGGACTGCTTACTAGCGGGAAGGTAAACGGCGTTTCCGTGTGCTGCGCTGGCTCGCCAGATGCAGCTTGTCACGCTGGCCACGTGACCCGGAAGTGTCTCCAGATAGCGCTGGCCCCCGGCCTCTTAAGTGAGATGGGCGCACAACCCTAGAGTTGGACACGACTGGCCCGTACGGGCAGGGGTACCTTTACCTTTAGGTAGGAGTAGTGTGTGAGAGCTGGCCTGGAAGCCGGAGACACAGAGTCATGCTTGCTCCGTCCTGCATCCAAAGTTGTCATTTTTGAGCTATTTTCATGGAAAATCGCAAAAAGCAACACTGCCGACATGGGCTGCCATACGTCCGGATCTTCCCAGACATTTTTTTCCCAATTTCGGCCTGGAAACTGCAGCCTGCTGCAGTATTCCTGGATATGTCTGGGAAAATTCTGGACGTATGACAACACTAATATATGGAGGGATCTTTTTGTGTGTGTGCGAGAGATTCTTTTTGCAAATGCGACATTAGGAGAGATGCAAGTTAAGCGCTGATTAATTTTTGTGCAGCTTTTAGAAACAAAATAAAATCACAAGTGAGGCTGCATTTTAGGTTGTTAAGATTAGAAACTCAGAGAGGGCAAAGAAATCGACAGATTTCTCTCTCCCTACTAGTCAGGGCTGATGAGAGCCACAGCCTTATAACATCTGCAGAGCGGCAGGTCTCCCCATCCCGCTATAGGCAAAACACCTTGAATAGCACAGGACCGCTAAATCTTACTAAATTAAGTCCTTGGTGAGTTACACCATGTATATAATGCAGCTCTGAGCATTTGCTTTCTAAAAGCTGATCCCACTGGGAGCGAAGGCGTTTTTCAGTTAATGAGCCAGAATCAATAGCGGGTTCTTCAATGACTGCCATTTAACAGCTCACACCGGTAGGGGGCAAGGTGCTGTTTTGAAAGCAGAACCAACACAAATCCCTTGTCCACAAATCCCTGCCCGTCTATGCCCCAAACTTATGAATACTTTTGGTGAGTAGCCGCAGAGTAGCATTTGGGGTTGTTGTGCTGGGACTTTTCCATTTAATGAAAAGATTGTGTGTGTGTTTCTGGTTAAAGTAAAGGTAAAGGGACCCCTGACCATTAGGTCCAGTCGTGGCCGACTCTGGGGTTGCGGCGCTCATCTCGCTTTACTGGCTGAGGGAGCCGGCGTACAGCTTCCGGGTCATGTGGCCAGCATGACTAAGCCACTTCTGGCAAACCAGAGCAGCGCACGGAAACGCCGTTTACCTTCCTGCCGGAGCAGTACCTATTTATCTACTTGCACTTTGACGTGCTTTCGAACTGCTAGGTTGACAGGAGCAGGGACTGAGCAACGGGAGCTCACCCCGTCGCGGGGATTCGAACCGCCGACCCTCTGTTCAGCAAGTCCTAGGCTCTGTGGTTTAACCCACAGCACCATCCATGGTCCCGTGTTTCTTTCTGGCAAAGAAAAGAAAGAAGAGAGACATTAGTAATGAGATTTAAATGTAACAGTGAAAGTAAGAAATGTAAATTAAGTGAAAAGATTGGAAAATTTCCAGATGTGATTGATGGAAGTCAAAAAATTGTATAAGATACAAAAGTATGTTTAATAATTGTTGAAAATGATATGTTAAAAAACTAATTAAAAATAAAAAAGATGATGATAATAATAATAATAATAATAATAATAATAATAATAATAATAATAATAATTAACCCTACCCATCTGTCTGTGTTGCCCCAGCTACTCTGGGTGGTGTCCAACACATATAAAACATAATAAAATGTCAAACATAAAAAACTTCCCGATACAGGGCTGCCTTTAGATGTCTTCTCAAAGTTGTGTCGTTCTTTATCTCCTTGACACCTGACGGGAGGGCATTCCACAGGGAGGGCGCCACCACCAAGAAGGCCCTTTGCCTGGTCCCCTGAAACTTCACTTCTCACAGTGAGAGAACTGCCAGAAGACCCTCGGAAGAGGACCTCAGTGTCAGTGGACGATGGGGGTGGAGACTGTGGAACTGGCTGCCACAGGAGACAGTGGTGGCCTCCAAGGTGGATTGCTTTAAACGAGGATTGCATAAATTCCTGAGGGCGACGGCTGTCAACGCCTACTGGCCATGATGTCTGTGCTCTGCTGTGTGACACTTTTGATACAAAGCTCTTGTGCTTAGAAGACATTTGAAGGCAGCCCTGTTCAGGGAAGCTTTTAATGTTTGATGCATTCTTGTATTTTAATATTTTGTTGGAAGCCGCCCAGAGTGGCTGGGGAAGCCCAGTCAGATGGGCTGGGTATAAATGAATTATTATTATTATTATTATTATTATTATTATTATTATTATTATTATATTGGTTAAAAGACCATCTAATAATAAATTAAAAGACGCCTGCTTCTTGGGAGAAAAGCAATGGCAAACCTAGACAGCATCTTAAAAAGCAGAGACATCACCTTGCCAACAAAGGTCCATATAGTTAAAGCTATGGTTTTCCCAGTAGTGATGTATGGAAGTGAGAGCTGGACCATAAAGAAGGCTGATCGCCGAAGAATGGATGCTTTTGAATTCTGGTGCTGGAGGAGACTCTTGAGAGTCCCATGGACTGCAAGAAGATCAAACCTCTCCATTCTGAAGGAAATCAGACCTGAGTGCTCACTGGAAGGACAGATCCTGAAGCTGAGGCTCCAAGACTTTGGCCACCTCATGAGAAGAGAAGACTCCCTGGAAAAGACCCTGATGTTGGGAAAGATGGAGGGCACAAGGAGAAGGGGACAACAGAGGATGAGATGGTTGGATAGTGTTCTCGAAGCTACGAACATGAGTTTGACCAAACTGTGGGAGGCAGTGGAAGACAGGAGTGCCTGGCGTGCTCTGGTCCAGGGGGTCACGAAGAGTCGGACACGACTAAACGACTAAACAACAACAATTATTATTACAGTGGTACCTCGGGTTAAGTACTTAATTCGTTCCGGAGGTCCATTCTTAACCTGAAACTGTTCTTAACCTGAAGCACCACTTTAGTTAATGTGGCCTCCTGCTGCTGCTGAGCGATTTCTGTTCTCATCCTGAAGCAAAGTTCTTAACCCGAGGTACTATTTCTGGGTTAGCGGAGTCTGGAACCTGAAGCGTATGTAACCTGAGGTACCACTCTATTATGGATGCTGCTTGCAGGATCTGTGAGATGGAGATGCTGGATGAATTTCGTTCAAATGCCTTAATTAACAGCGCTGCAACAACAATGGTGTCCACGGCGTCTGGCTCTGCCAGGTCCACCCGCCCTGAGAGTTTAATAGTTTCATAAAGGAAGCAGACCCAAGAGAGAGGCGCGAGTAGATGAAGGGGAAGCTGAACAGCTGGGCGTGACTGAGGAACAGCAGGAAGCCCAGAGGCTGAGCCACGATCCAAGAGAAAAGGGAATTAGCTACACGGCAGGAGCGGCAAGAGGGTCGTGGGGGGCAAATGCAACTCATTAGCCCCCTTCCTTCCACCTCCATGCGCTCCTGACCCCTCACATCAGCCATGCTCAAAGCCCTCGGCTAATTGAGAAGCCCCCCTGCAAGGGAGAAGGGAAGGTTTGGGCACATGGAGATGATGAAAGTATGTGGGAACATGGGGGGGGGGCTCCATTGTGTGCAGGAAAAACGCAATAGGGGAGGGACAGAATCGGTATTTAATACCAATATCCACTACTGAGACCCCTCCCTGCCCACAGAGTGTCTCGCCAGAGTGGTGCATGCTCTAGTTATCTCCCGCTTGGACTACTGCAATGTGCTCTATGTGGGGCTACCTTTGAAGGTGACCCGGAAACTACAACTAATCCAGAATGTGCCAGCTAGACTCGTGACTGGGAACGGCCGCCAAGACCACATAACACCGGTCCTGAGAGATCTGCATTGGCTCCCAGTATGTTTCCAAGCACAATTCAAAGTGTTGGTGCTGATCTTTAAAACCCTAAACGGCCTCAAAGGCCCAGTATACCTGAAGGAGCGTCTCCACCCCCATCATTGAGCCCGGACACTGAGATCCAGCTCTGAGGGCCTTCTGGCGGTTCCCTCATTGCGAGAAGTGAGGTTACAGGGAACCAGGCAGAGGGCCTTCTCGGCGGTGGTGCCCGCCCTGTGGAACGCCCTCCCACCAGATGTGAAGGAAATAAGCAATTATCTCATCTTTAAAAGACATCTGAAGGCAGCCCTGTTTAGGGAAGTTTTTAATATTTAATGCTGTATTAACACTCGATTGGAAGCCACCCAGAGTGGCCGGGGAAACTCAGCCAGATGGGCGCGGTATAAATAATAAATTATTATTATTATTATTATTATTATTATTATTATTATTATTATTATTTACCACCTCTGAAGTATAGAAAAAGCCAGCAGTGCCTCTGAGCATGGGCAGAGTCATTCCACTGCCACCAAGCAACTCACGCCATGATTCAAGCCAGCCGGCGTACATAACCCGGGTCAGGGTTGAAGAATGTGGCCCCCACACAGCCCAGCAAATTTGCTGGGGGGGGGGTTGGAGTCACGAGGAGTGAGGAATTCAGGATTTGGGGACATAAGGTGAGAAGAAGAAGAAGAAGAGGAGTTTGGATTTGATATCCCACTTTATCACTACCCGAAGGAGTCTCAAAGCGGCTCACATTGTCCTTTCCCTTCCTCCCCCACAACAAACACTCTGTGAGGTGAGTGGGGCTGAGAGACTTCAAAGAAGTGTGACTGGCCCAAGGTCACCCAGCAGCTGCAGGTGGAGGAGCGGAGACGCGAACCCGGTTCCCCAGATTACGAGACTACCGCTCTTAACCACTACACCACACTGGCTCTCGAGGGACGGGTTTGAGCCAAGTTGGTTTTCCAATGGTCTGCCGCGGAGCATCCGAAGCACTAAGCAAGAGTGCCTCTGAGCATGTGCAGAGTGCACCTGTGAATGCAAAGGGCAGCTTACATGGGGAGGCCACGGGTGTCTCAGCCTGGTGCCCTCCAGATTATTTAGACTACAGCTGATGATGGGGGGTTTAGTCCAAAACATACCTGTAGGTTGGAGATGCTGTGATCCTTCACCTGCTTTTCCTCCCTCCCTGTGGAGGCACCAACTCACTGCAGTGCCCGCCCTCGCCAGCTGTGCCCAAAGCCCTTTTGAGCTTGACAGCTGCTGCCGAGGGAGAAAGGAGGTCCCTCATCTATACAGGTAAATATCAAGGAGGGGAATGAGCTCTTGTAAGGCAAGAAGGTGGACCCAGTCTCTCCCCGTCGTATCTCACGACCGTGGTAAAACCACTTGGATTTTTTAAAAGACACAGAGATCCAGTTCACAGGCAGAGTGCACCATATTGCGGCAGGTATAATTGGCAAGTCATTTCCTGGATTCGGGTGCAAAATTCAGTGGGGAAAATCCATACTGTGGCTCCTAAGAAAGGGGATCTTATTCTATGTACCAAGCCAGACCATTAGTCCATCTAGTTCAATAGTGTTCACACTGACTGGCAGCATCTCTCTGGGGGTTCAGGAAGAGGTCTTTTCCTAGCCCTACATGCTGTCGGTGATCGAACCTGAGAACTTCTACCTGCAAGGCAGATTGCTCTGCCACTGAGCCCTTCCACCTTGAGGGCATCGCACGCTCCTGGCCTCAGTTCTACCACCTGTTAAATGGGCGCAATAGTGACTTAAATGGACGTTTTGCCTTTTAAAAGGGATCTCTGAATATTAAGGATAAAATCACAACAATGGGGCATCTGTTAAATACCGTATTTTTTGCTCTATAAGACTCACTTTTTCCCTCCCAAAAAGTAAGGGGAAATGTGTGTGTGTCTTATGGAGCGAATGCAGGCTGCGCTGCTATCCCAGAAGCCAGAACAGCAAGAGGGATTGCTGCTTTCACTGCGCAGCGATCCCTCTTGCTGTTCTGGCTTCTGGGATTCAGAATATTTTTTTCCTTGTTTTCCTCCTCCAAAAACTAGGTGCGTCTTGTGGTCTGGTGCATCTTATAGAGCAAAAAATATGGTAGTTATAGCTAGCTGTTTGTGGTTCATTGCCCCTCTGCCTTATAAGAAAGCAAAAAGGTGGTAGCCCAAGAGAATTTTTCAAAAAGGAATCTAGCTCATGAAAAAGCCAACTTTTCAAACCCACATCTCCATATGGATGAGCAAAGCCTGAGATATTTTGTTTTAATGCCGTTTGTATGGAGAAGGAAGTGCTCTCTCTTTGCAGCCATGAACAGTGCAGTCCTGTGCATGCCTACTCTGAAGTAAGCCGCACTGAGTTCAACAGAAAATGTGTAGAGGATTGCAGTCTAACACTACATTCCTAACCGCATCTCCCCAGAAAGAAGTCTTGTTCAATTCAATGGGACTAACTCCTAGGTGCGCTTGGTGCGCAATTATCAAGCATTGCTTGCATGCCATTTTGTATTCTGAATTCTGCCTTATAAACAGTATTGCAAATATTTTTATTTCCTGCCAACCCACACTACCCTTGTATAATCTGATTCCCTGCAAAAGAGAGAGAGAGGATGCGCATGGGAAAGCACTGTGATTTTAAAATTTGGTTCCGGCATTGAATTTCAGCTTGAAAAGTGAAATAAAATGTTAGATGAGACAGGGAAGATCTGCCAAGAAGACCTAACTCGGAGAGCCAGATGCACTTGGGGGAGAAGCGAGGATTTTAAAAGTACCTCCTCAAAGGTGTAGGATCCACCTACCTTGGCCAGATCCAACGCCAAGTCAATCCTCACGCACTCGGAATCACTCCAGAGCAATAAGCCTCTCGCCCAACCCAACCTTTTGCCTTGTCTCTCCCCAGCCTGGAACAGCTCCGGGTTCGAAAGGAGCCAAGCAAGGGAGAACTCTGGCTGTTACCTGTTGTCCACAGCCGTCCTTGCAGAGCAAAGCGGCTCCTCTCTGCTGTCTCTGGTCGGAATGAGCAGCTGCCACCACCTGGGGCACCGGGAGCTGCAGGAAAGCAGGCAGGGAGGGGGAGAAGGGAGGGAGGGAGGTGCCTCCCAGCCCACCCCTGGGAGAAACGGTTTCAGAGGAAGGCAGCTTGTAGGGAGAGGGGGTGGGAGGAAAAGCAGGCCCGAGCCCTTTGGAGAGAACTGGCTTGGGTTTCAGGTGTCTGAGGTCTGAAGGGCATCAGAAGATCCTGCTGGACCAAGCCAATGGTCCATTCAGTCCAGCATCCTGTTCTTGCAGTGGCCAGCCACACACCTGTAGGAAACCTGCAAGCAGGATTGGAGCACAAGAGGAACTCTCTCTTCCTGGTTTCCAGCAACTGGTACCCAGAGGTGTTGGTGCTGACCTTGAAAGCCCTAAACGGCCTCGGTCCAGTATACCTGAAGGCGCATCTCCACCCCCATCGTTCTGCCCAGACGTTGAGGTCCAGCGCCAAAGGCCTTCTGGTGGTACCCTCATTGCGAGAAGTGAGGTTACAGGGAATCAGGCAGAGGGCCTTCTCGGTGGTGGCACCTGCCCTGTGGAACGCCCTCCCACCAGATGTCAAGGAAATAAGCAGCTATCCTTTTATTTTCTCCTCCACATATCAAGTCACGTTTATTATAAAGATTTTTTAAAAACTAAAACAATAAAAGACAGTCTGAATACAAGTTTCCTGGTATTCATTCCTGGTATATTGCACTCGAAAAGCAATGACAAACCTAGAAAGCATCTTAAAAAGCAGAGACACCTCCTTGCCAACAAAGGGCCGGTATAGTTTAAAGCCATGGTTTTCCCAGTAGTGATGTATGGAAGTGAGAGCTGGACCATAAAGAAGGCTGATCGCCGAAGAATCGATGCTTTTGAATTATGGTGCTGAAGGAGACTCTTGAGAGTCCCATGGACTGCAAGAAGAACAAACCTTGCCATTCTGAAGGAAATCAGCCCTGAGTGCTCACTGGAAGGACAGATCCTGAAGCTAAGGCTCCAATACTTTGGCCACCGCATGAGAAGAGAAGACTCCCTGGAAAAGACCCTGATGTTGGGAAAGATGGAGGGCACAAGGAGAAGGGGACAACAGAGGACGAGATGGTTGGACAGTGTTCTTGAAGCTCCCAGCATGAGTTTGACCAAACTGCGGGAGGCAGTGGAAGACAGGAGTGCCTGGCATGCTCTGGTCCAGGGGGTCACGAAGAGTCGGACACGACTAAACGACTAAACAGCAACAACAACTTCCCTGGACTGTCAAGTTGAGAGGATACATTCAGGCACAATATTTGTAACATTTAACTTTAAAGATCTGCCCCCCCCCTAATATCCGTAACATACTGCTGCATCACACTGTTGACACGTTCAGCTTGCGGTCCACTAAGACTCCTGGATTCTTTTCACATGTGCTACTGGCAAGGCAGGTGTGTCCCCCATATCATATATCTGTGCAGCTGATTTTTTCTGCCCCCCCCCCCATCCACAGTTTCTGCAGAGGAACAGCATAAAGGACACGGAAGAGAAATGATAATAAAGCACCTCTGGATTTTTTTAACTGCATGCAATGTCGACTTGCATCCATGTGGAGGCAGCATAAAGCAAGAGAACGACGCCATGGGAAATCCTAGACTCTTCAAGGTTCCCTCTTGCCACTGGAATTTGCCACAAAGGTGCGGGTCAACCCTGTTCGCCAACCTGGTGCCCCTTCCAGCTCTTTTGAACTACAACTCCCTGGGGCTTGGTGATGAGAGTTGTAGTCTGAAATATCTGAGAGTGGCATCGGGTTGGCGAAGGTTCTGCGAATCCCAAATCCTGCTCCTCAAAAAATGGAGCTGGGTTTATTGAAATCTCTCCCCGCCGCCCCCAAAAGCCAACCCAGGCTCATATTAGACCAGGATCCTTTCCAATAATAAAACCACAAATGCCTGTTTTGGACTTGGACTAGTGACCTGGGTTCAAATTGTTGCTGTAAAAAAATGCTGGGAGGCCTCTTCTCCCCCAGCTTGACCTACCTCATAGGGTTGTTGTGAAGACAGCAAAAGCTACCTAGACTAAAGGCAGGCTAGGAGAGAGCAACATGGTCATGTACTCTGGCTTTCTAAAATATCTTTCCCCCCCCCCTTTTGTGGGGGGCTCAAACCATCTGCATTCCATGCAAAATTATCTCCTGTGAGATCATTGCCCCTTGCACAATCATCTGCATCCTACAGAGCAAGATATTTTTAGATGCTTTTTATCCTGTCCAGTGGTCGATCTTCTGTTTTGAATTACGGAACTGTTGCAATGTATTTACCAAATGCCGGTATGGATTCCTATTATTCGATTGCATTTGATTTATTGCACTTTGATTTAAGAACAACAACAACAACAAAAACCTGTGTCGCCTGGAGCTTTGCTCCCCAGGTAGTGCGTTTAGGATCGCAGCTCGACCCTGGTGTTAGGAACGTAGTGATCCGGCCCATGAAAAAAAAAAAGAAAAGAAAAAGAAAAAGCCTTGTTGCTGGATCAGGGCCAAGGGATAGCTATAGTTCAGCCCCTGTTGCCAAACAAGGTGTCCCTGGGAAGCCTGGAAACAGAACCTGAGGACAACAGCACTCTCCTGGTCTCCGGCGGGTTCCGGAAACAGACATTCAGAAGCATACTGCCTCTGACAACAACGTTATAATATACCTATCATGGCTTGTAGCCACTGGTAGCCGCAAGTGGCCCCTCAGTGTTCTCAACACAGATTGGCAATGGCTGCCCAGGTTTTCAGGTTTCCAAGCCCAAACTGAGGACACCAGGGACTGAACCTGGAGGTTTCTGCATGCAAAGCAAGAGCAGGAATAGCTCCGTCAGTAGAGCATGAAACTCTTAATCTCAGATCGTGGGTTCGAGCCCCACATTGGGTGAAAGGGTAAAGGTAAAGGTACCCCTGCCCGTACGGGCCAGTCTTGACAGACTCTAGGGTTGTGCGCCCATCTCACTCAAGAGGCCGGGGGCCAGCGCTGTCCGGAGACACTTCCGGGTCACGTGGCCAGCGTGACAAGCTGCATCTGGCGAGCCAGAGCCGCACACGGAAACGCCGTTTACCTTCCCGCCAGTAAGCGGTCCCTATTTATCTACTTGCACCCGGGAGTGCTTTCGAACTGCTAGGTTGGCAGGCGCTGGGACTGAACAACGGGAGCGCACCCCGCCGCGGGGATTCGAACCGCCGACCTTTCGATTGGCAAACCCTAGGCGCTGAGGCTTTTACACACAGACCACCCACGTCCCACATTGGGTGAAAGTTTCCTGCAATTGCAGGGGTTGGGCTAGATGACCGTCATGGTCCCTTCCAAATCTACATTTCTTTGATTATGCCACCAGCTAACCACCCAGCTCGATCTATGTTTATTTTTTTATACACATATATATAAATTTTAATTAGTTTTTTAACATATCATTTTCAACAGTAATTAAACATCATTTTACATCTTATTCCATTTTTTTTACTTCCATCAATCCTGTCTGAACATTTTCCAATCTAGTCTCTTAGTATCCATTTCTCATTTTCCCTATTACATTTCAAACTCATAACCAATATCTCTATCTTTTTCTACTTTGTAACACTTCGTATATTTCTCCTTACAAAACTTCTTGTAGTCCTACTAGCGTAATTTGTCGATTACAGTTGCTCTTCAAATAATTCCTATACTTCTTCCAAACGTCTGTAAATTTCTGGTCCCGCAGGTTTCGAATCCCTCCTGTCATTTTGTCCAACTCTACGTAGTCCATTAATTTCGTCTGCCATTCTTCTTTCGTCGGAATTTATTCTTGTTTCCACTTCTGGGCTAACAATACTCTTGCGCAGCTCGATCTATGTTTAATCCACCTTTAAGTTCCAGAACCCTCATTTGGAGGAAGGCTGCAAGCTTGCAGTTTCTCAAAAGGTGTGGCCAAAGAGGATGGCAAGTGTGTTGGGATCATTCAAGGACAATCAAAGAACATTTAAACATTTCAGTGCGGTGTAATGTAGTGTCAAAATAACATGTTTTCATTTGCAGACCCAATCTAAAGGAGCTTTCCCAGCAAAAGCTACACTCCTGCATTGTTTTCCAAGACAGACGGGTGCCAGCATACCCGGCAAAACCAAGCTCATACCTCTCATTGAGTTTGTATACAGTGGTGCCCCGCAAGACGAAAAACCTGCTAGACGAAAGGGTTTTCCGTTTTTGAGTTGCTTCGCAAGCCGAATTTCCCTATGGGCTTGCTTCGCAAGACGAAAACGTCTTGTGAGTCTTGCGATTTTTTTCGCTCCCCCCCCTTTTTCTAAGCTGCTAAGCCGCTAATAGCCTTTTAGCCGCTAAGCCGCTAAGCCTTTAATAGCCGCTAAGCTGCTAAACCACTAATAGCGCTAATCCGCTAAGCCGCTAATGGGGTTGCTTCGCAAGACGAAAAAACCGCTAGACGAAGAGACTCGCGGAACGGATTATTTTCATCTTGCGAGGCACCACTGTACATACTTAAGGTAAATATGTAAGAGGCTCGTTTATAATTATATTTTGGGAATGATTCATGTTATTATGCATAATTTTATATATTCTGGATGTCCACTCCCAGATGAGCTGTAGCTATGGGTCCTGTGGGTGAGTGAGTGGCCCACCACATGGTCTGAGGGACGATGGACCAGCCCACGGCTGAAAAAGGTTGCTAACCCCTGGCCTAGGGTCTCCCTTAATCTAAATCCAGCCATGCATGGACCACCTATAAACATCATCTGCAACTCCTCGAAAGATTCCATCATCAGTGTCTCTGAAAAATTCTACACATCACTCGGGAAGTCAGGCGAACTAATGCCAGTGTACTGGAAGAAGCAAAGATTGCCAGTGTCGAAGCAATGATTCTTCAACATCAACTTCGTTGGACTGGTCATGTTGTGCAGATGCCTGATTATTGTCTTCCAAAGCAACTACTTTATTCTGAATTTAAAAATGGAAAGCGTAATGCTGATGGTCAACAAAAGAGGTTTAAACACTCTCCCAAGGCA